TCTCTCTCTCTCTCTCTCTCTCTCTCTCTCTCTCAGACACTAAGTCCAGAACAAATAGCGGACTCGTTTCTCTCTCTCTCTCTCTCTCTCTCTCTCTCTCTCTCTCTCTCTTTCTGTTTGTCTTTGCAGTTGCGCGGATTCCTCACATCCCTGTCGAGTTCGTTCTCACACACTGTGCTACGTTGGTTGCCTGCTCGATCTCACCTTGGAAATGCAGTTTCTTTTTTTTTTTCATGAAGGGTAATAGGTGGCAGGATCAAGCTTTTTCCATGGAACGGTGTTATGAAAATGCAGTTTCGTCGTTGGATGAACGAAGGGAGGGAGTGTGAGGCAAGCCTTAGGGAGATTTGGTTGTGTGCAGTAGAGTGATTGTTTCCTTGCTGTCGTGGTTGTCAGGTATCATCTCGAACGCTCTATGTGCCTTGGGATGAGGCTGGTGCTCTCTGTCCGGTAGGGGACTTGTTCAATTACGCACCCCCTACTGAGCAGTTGAGGGATTGTGGGAGAGGAAGGGAGGAGACGGCGATGGCGGAAGAGGACACGTGGTCATCTAGGGATCGACTGACAGATGGAGGTTTTTCGGTTGAAAACAACGCTTATCAATTTTTCGCTCGAGAAGATTACGCAGAAGGCGAGCAGGTAAGATTTTTTGTTTGTTTTTAAAAAAACAGGTCCTTATGGTCCTGGCACCATTTCCAGTCTGGGGAGCATCAGTCCGGTTCCTATTCCACTGACAAGTCAGAATAAATATTACATCATGAATCCACATATCTGGCTGAAGGAACCCTGACCCGCATTGATTACTCCAGCATCGTGGAGGATTGACTATCAGCTTGCCGTGCTTTTACCTTTCCTCTCAGGTCCACTATACTGGCCTGTCAGATAGAACATAAATGGCAAGAAAATGGGTCTAAACAATTGCCTTTGGCCAGCGAGTAATTGCGGAAAACAGTGAAAATTCCCCCGAAAACTAATAGAAAGATAAGAGGACCCCCCCTCTCTCCCCCTTACCCATGAGTATATAAACCTTGAAAGTGTGAGGGCACCGACAGGCGTAGCTCAGTTGGTGGTACATCCATAAAATGTTGACAACCATTGGCTGCCGCTGCCAGCAATCACTGCGGGATGGTCCTCGGCCTCTACAACACCCTGGGATTTAAAATGAAAAACTAATAATAATAATAATAATAATAATAATAATAATAATAATAATAATAAAAAATGAAATGCAGACCTCAGTTCGAATCCAGATGGACTCAGATGAACAGAATAAAACAATTCTGAGTTTACCTGGGGCCGATCAGTTCAATGATGATATCTCAAGGCCGTTGCACTCTTTATAAACGGAAAAAATAGGGGTGTGAGGCAAACGACTTCCCCACAAGTCCCCCCCCCAAAAAAAAACCCTTTGATTTTGTTTTAAACCCCCAGTTCACACGAGTCTAAGTTGACAAAGCTGTACCTTCCAAGGCTTGCGGGGTGCAACCGCGCCTTTTTCAAAGTGGCCTGCTGCTTTCACTACTGGCCCAGGCCCGAATTCAGGTGACTTTACCGGATAAACGGGTAAGAGCGAGCACTACTTAGGTTCATGTGAACTGCTATGCGCCCCCAGAATAGATGGGGCTTGTGTTGTTTGTATTGAAAAAAAAACAAAAACAAAGAACTGGTGGTTTAGCCTGGAATTACGGGCACATAAGGCTTGCGCGAGGAACAAATTTCATTCAGCAATATGTATAGAACTGCAGTCAGATGGCCATTCTGCAGTTAAGCGCACCAGTACCTCCGAGCCTCATTGTTTCCCGACACCGGGTTTTGCCCAATACCCTGGAGTACCAAAGCACTGTGGGGTCCAGGCCTGGTGATGAAGGCCATATGCGGCGCATTTGCACCAGAATTGTTTGTTTTTTTTCCTGCTCATCTGATTGTATCCAGATTCGAACGCGGGTCTGTATTTCAACAGCTCAGGGGTTTACGGAACTGGGCTACCAGGGCCGTTGGTTGCACCGCAATTGTTTTCAGAGGCCATGTTTTTTTAACTTTTTAAATCCCGACCAAAGTCTGTTCTCTCTCTCTCTCTCTCTCTCTCTCTCTCTCTCTCTCTCTCTCTCATAATAAATCCTGACTAAAGTCTGTTCTGTCTCTCTCTGTCTCTCTCTGTCTCTCTCTGTCTCTCTGTCTCTCTGTCTCTCTGTCAGCGGTTAACAGAGCCCTAAATTTTCAGCGTTTTTTAGGGGTCTCTCTTTCTCTCTCTCTAGCTGTGTGGAATTTTTGAAAGCATATGTGTTACGTGCAGATGTTTCTGTGCTATGACAAGTGCGGGAGAACTTCGATCTTCTTGCACACTGGCCTTTTGCTGGTTGAAGGCTCTGTCTCAGAGAAAAAAAGAAAAAGGAGCTGACTCAGAGGCTGATCGTGAAATTTTGCGCAACTTCCCTGCAGGTGTATCTTTGTTATGGCGAGCATGAGAACTTGGATCTTCTTGAACACTATGGCTTTTTGCTGGAACACAATCCGAACGATGCGGTTCGTGTCAACCTGACACAACAGAAGCGCGGTGAGGAAAGCGCAGTAGATTCCTTGTTTCTGCAATTACCACCAGGACACACAGAAGGGTTTTCGGATGGGACAGGAAAAATCTGCCTGACGAGTGATGGCCTACCATCCTTCTCTCTTTTGCGGGGGCTTCGGCTTGCGCATGCAGGAAGAGCGTTGAGGAAAGAAAGGGGTCATCTGGCGGCTTCGGGGTTACCCTTGACGCCGGAGAACGAAAGGGCGGTCTACACGTGGCTGAGGAAGAAATGTGCCTCCTTATTGGCAGGACTCCCGACCAGTCTCGCACGGGACAAGGCTCTGTGGGCACGGCACTGCATGCACAGGGAACAGGAGGTGAGGCAGCAAAGCTGTGGCGACATGCTGCCAGGCATTACCGAGCAATCTGTGAAATCGTCATCAAGGATAGGAAGTGCTTCTACACAACAGGGTACTGGATTTACAACCCAGTTGGAGCAATTGCCAGGGGGGAATAGGATCAGCGGATGGGAGAGCTGCGTGATGGGCGACCATCTTGCACCATCTTCTGACAACAGACATGACATGTCTGCTGTTCCTAGCACAGTGTCAATGTCTGAAAGTCGTCAAGATGGCAGAACCTGTGGCAGTAAGGTTGACAAATTTGGTGCCGTTGGCTGCGGCGAGGGCGCTGAGCCGTGCAATCGACCGGATTTTTGTATGTGCCAGATAGCGCGAGGGTGTGGCATCAGCGTCTCTTCCAGTGCATTGGGCAGCAGGGAGGAAGAAATGAATGCAGGAGGTGGAAGCTGTGAAGGAGGATGTCCTGTCTCAGGTCGTCAATCGGCAGGACCTGACAAGGCTAGCGTCGATTGCAATGCCCTTCCCGATTGTTGCTCTGCCCCCCAAGAAATGCAAGGGTGCAGTGAAGCACCCTCTTCAGAAGGGAATGCGCATGAGAATGGATATGTTGGCGATGGCAAAGGGTGTGTCAAAGACGACTGGAAGAGCGAAGCATGCAGTCATGCCAGCAGCTTTGCTGTTTGGAGTGTACGCGAAAGGCTTGCCTTACAGTGGCGAATGGGCTACAAACGCATCGTGCATCGTGCTCTGGTGCATTGTGAACAAAGACTGCAGACAGGTTTTTGAGTGCAGAACACTCTCTAGCTAGCATCTGTAATTTCGGTGCGAGTCTACTCCTCTGCCACATTAATCTCACTTAAGGTAGGGCTTTCTGTTGTCATTCAGCCGCTTGATTTCAGAGCGTTTATCAGAAAGAGGTTTTTGGTGTCGTCTTTCTGCTGCTTGATTTCCCACTCTTTCTCCTGGCTGCCGTTCTACAGAGCTCATGACTAAGTATGCTATGTAGCCAAGCACCTACCTGGAGAGCACATGTAAGATTCACATTTGCCTGTCCCTGTGGAACTGAACTTCAGACAATTGCTTAGCATT